CAAAAATAATTGACAATGGTAATGAAATGGCTTTAGATGTTTTTTTTAGTACCTATGTAATTAGACAAATTATTTTCATAAAAAGAATTATAGTCTTTTATTTTATTTAAGTGCAACATTATTTCATCACTATTTATTGGTTTAAAAAATAAACCATCATTTATAATTTATAATTTCATGGTCATCTGACACATGACTTATGTGTTATACCTATTTCTAAATTATTCCCAACATTAATAAAATAGTCATTTAATGCATTACAAATTTCTGTTTTTAATTCAGTATTACAATAGTTTTTCATTGTTATATTATTAATATCACATATTTTATTTTTGTTTGATTTTCCTATTACCTCATTAATAATATTCCATACCTATTAACCATCAGACTGAGTTCTTAATAATTTACTTCGATAAAATAATTGTTAAGATTTTCGTATTAATACATTTAATATATTTTTGTATTTATTATAGAATTGCTTTAAGTGTGTATCAAAAGGCCTCAATTTAAATTTAGCAAACAATTTTTCCCTATTTCTAATAGAAGTTATTATACCGGTTGAAATGCATTCTTTTAATTTTGACATTTCTTTCGATTTCAATTTAATTACAGAAATAGTTGAATGATAAATAAATAAATTTATTTTAGAATTAAAAACCTCGAGCATAGAATCAACATCATCAAAAGACATAGTAGAACGCCAATTTTCTAAAATAATTTATTTATTTAAAAGGCCAATATTTATTTTTTATATTTTGACAAGTATTTTGGACTTTAAACATTTCATCAGATAACATCAGTATTGTAGCATAATGATCAGTCATATCACATCGTAATATTTTCGATTTTATTTTATTTGATCCTACGTTTTTAATAAATATATGATCAATGCAAGTATTTGAGGACTCAGTGACTCTGGTAAAATTATTTATACATGATATATTATATTCATATATATGTATTTCAATATTTGCATACTTTGTAGTTGGTATGGTTAATTTTGTAATATGTGAGTAACAAAATACAATTCACAACATTTAGGATGAAATACCTACTTAATCTATTTAGTGCACATTTTGACTACTTTGGTTTTAAAGGCAATATATTTAATTTTAAAAGTATATTTAAAATAAAAAGTCATTTTGTGATTCAATTTGTTTTTGTTTTTCGTTCAGTTGGTAGTTGAAAAATACTCGTATATTAATAATTGTAAACTGATAATTAGATAATTTGGTTGTTATCGTACTCAAGCGAAGCGAGAAAATTTTTTTTTTGATTTAATGTTATAGTTATGTCATTGACACCTAAGATCTAGAAGTCGTATACGAATATTTTTAGCAATACACCACTGGTTATACCTATTAATTATTATGTCCACAGATATACCTAAATTATTTTGTTCAATTTCATCAATTTTAGATTTCAGTATATAAACTTCATCTGATAGCCGTTTATTCTCAGCTTTTATTTTTTCATTTACAAGTTTGATATTTTTTAGTTCACTCACAATAGTATCAATTTTATTATTAAAATTGTCAAATTGTGAGCTCATTTTTTTTCATATGGTTAACCAAGCTTACCTTATTTTCCATTTTTTGATTTTTAGGAGATTTTTGAGATTTATGAATATCAATTTGGCACTAAGTGCAATTGAATCTTGCTTTCGTATTATTTGACAATTTTTTTAAAATTAGTTTCAGAGTAGCCCGCACAATAGAAGTGAAAAGCTTTTTGCAAGTAGAAGAGCACTCTATTTTTCATCCTTCTGAGTTATGTGTAGAAGTATCAAAACATTTGACACACGTAAAAAACATTGTGATCGAAAATAAAAATAAACTGAAAAACGAACGAAAAATACCGTAGATTAGGTAACTTACTAGTCAATATTTTATACAAAAAATATATAGTTTATTATAACGCATTGTTTTATTAATATAATACAATTATATCAATAGGTAGTATTATAATATGTAGGTAGGTATTTACAAATAATATAATAAATAAAATAAATGGATACTACACTATCAACTGTATTTCTATACACGTTATAATGGACTTAATAAAAAAAGTTTATCTCATGGCTTTTGTATCTCATTACACCACTAAATTTTAACAATCGATAAATAATGTAGCCAACAATTCAATAATTATATATTTTTTTTTAATAGGTACCCTTCTTTCGGTACGTATTGCAGATAGGTACCTACTCTAGTTAGGTGTGTCATGTATCAGATTGCGAACATTATTTTTAGGAAGTCTATAATGTTTTAATGAACTGCCAATCATTTAAGTCTCATTAAAATAATATATTAGTTTTTTAATTTTAAAATGTACAGACATAAAAAGTTAAAAATAAACACAATTAAATGCGTTTTCAATGGAATTATATCAACGTAGGCACCTACTTCGTGTCCAGCTATATATATGGATATATCTATCTCTTCAATGTTTCTAACCACTTGGATATTATTTAGGTTTAGCATGAATTTCATTGTTCCAACTAGGACTAGCGTTATTTTCGGTTCATCAAAATATCAGTTTACCAGAAAATAGTTACATACATATGTACATATTACATGTATATCGAGGTACACTGAAAATATAAAATAACCAAATAAATTAAATTATTCAAAATAATAATTAAAAGAAACATCATTTAATTTTAGATTCTGATGATGGCAGGCATTGAGGTATTTTCAATTTTGTATTTCTTTGGTACACTCAAACCACTATAATATATTATATATTACGAAAAAAAATAGGTACCACGTCATGTTACTATTTAAATTATTTTTGTGGTAAGTAATAACAACTAATTATATTAATTATATTAAATTATAATTCAAATTTATTTTTGTTCTATTGATAATTTAACAGTCCAATTTCTATATTATTATTATACTTTTATTTAAATGGTTAGTAGTACTTGATACAAATTACCCAATTATTTATATATTTTAAAAATGCAATATGCATTAATTTATATTATATTAGTATATTATGTAGAAGCATAGGCGTATGGTATATATTATACCAATGTTAAATAGTGAAATATATGAAATTTCAAATCATATATTTTTAAGCTAATCAATAATCACATTATCGACTGTTTTGTTATTATGAGTATCTACTACCTAGTACCTACTACCTATTGATTGAAAAAAACTTACATCTTGAAATAAACATTGTGACATAATAACATACATTATTAATTGTGTTCCATCATTGCACCCACACGAGATCTATGTGCAAATTCCCATTGTCCTTTCAAAGTAAATTATAACAAATTTGTTCTTGTTTTAAACGGTAAACGGTCACTTTGTACGGTCAGGTAAAACTTTAGATTACAGAAAGCGGGAACTCTGTACTATTATATACATAAGGTGTATATTGTAAATAATATATGAAATATAATGACTTGTGATTTTGAGATATTTCCATATTATACTATACAATATGTATTTTTTAAAGATTTTTTCGATATTATATTCTATTAGTGGTTTTGAGATATTTCAATATTATACTATACATGTAGTAGAACCACCTACATTTATACATCTATAAACAATAAATATTATATACATTATCTCCATACATAATATTATATTATATTGCACGCATTACGGTTTTCATAATATATTTTAACTTTTATGCATCAGTCATAGTGAGCTTGTACATTTTATGGCTGGTTAATAAGACGCGGAAAATATAAAGGTGCCAAAGTACACTCTATAATCTATATTTGTATTGAATGTTTTAGAAAATGTATTATTTAAAAAGAAAAAAAATAGTTTACTAAACTTGAAACCATATTATATTATATTATATTTACCTATTCAATTATATACCTATAACCTAGGTAGGTACAGTTATTGGATTCTCTGGCCATTTTGTATAGTCTAAAATTAACCTACTGGATTTCTACGTCATATGATTTAACCGTTTTAGGTTTCTAAACATTAGTTTAGAACTTAAGAACACCTCAAATTCCCGTCGTGCTGTCCATTCATCCGTTAGTTACCGGATAATTAATAAATTGGTACAACGTATATTATTTCCAAGAAAAAGTTTTAAAAATATCGTTACTATGTACAACCATATATAATAATAATTTGTTTGCGATTTGAATTCAGTATCTGTTTATCCGTCATACGACCAACACGAACCTACCTGCCGTACGAATTATAATATTATTATTTTCAAAAACTGATAGCATTCCTCACCGAATTTAATCAATCCATAATGTCCGTCTGTCATCGTATCTGGAGAAAACGCAATCCTACCGTCGTCGGGACTTGTAAAATCGCCGGCAGAACAACTTTTGAAAAACGTCTACACCGGGCTGAGGAACTGCTCGACGGTGGTGACAATAACTCTGTCGGCTAATGACGATAATAACGTCGCACGGCACATGCGAGGTGGTGACGTCAGTCTTAAGTCTGAAACACCGTTTGGCGCAGCCGGCGACTGCATTCAACCAACGGATCCGTCAAGCCGCTGCGTTGGCTTGAAAACGTTATGCTACATCTCGCTGGCTACAATGGCAGGTCGGTAGGCTGCCGAAGGTTAGGTTAGGTTAGGTTAGGTTAGGTGCCTAGTAGCACTTCGTTAAAGACTTGGAAGTTTTGCGATAACTGTGACATATTAAATATTATACGGTTTTTAAAAGCATTGATCATTTAATTTTCGAATCTTTTTCTTTTTTCTCTGCCAACCAAGTAGAACTTCGCTGTTCTTCGTAATAATTTAGCATCATTAACGGTAAGTATAATTCGATTGGCAAATTAAAATTAAAGATGATATGCCGTAACTACTGAATAATATATTATTATTTTTATTTCAATAAATATATATACAAATATGGTATATATATATTTTTTGTAGTCTCATACATCGAAAAATATCGAAATGCAAAATAAACTTATATACGAAGAACATCGAAGTGCTACTTGGTTCGCTGAGAAAAAAGAAAAAGATTTAAAATTCTGCAACGGGACAATATGCTGAAACAAAACGAAATGCAATTAAACATTAAAAAAGACAAAGAGAAAGCAGAGAAAGAAAAGGATTATGATCTAGTCAAAATAGTAATAGATTAAATTATAAATGATTAATGCTTTTAAAAACAAACCGTATAATATTTAATATGTCACAGTTGTTGCAAAACTTCCAAGTCTTTAACGAAGTAGAGGAGAAAAAAAACGCTGAGCGACGGCAAAAGATGATCTTCTATGGAAAAAGAGTTAAAAATGTCGATCGACCAGAAAACAGATCTGAGACAAAGACAGAAAAAGATTGCGATGAACGAATTTTCGGAGGCTGTTAAATTGGAGGAGCTGAGGTAACTCCATCAACATATTGTTTAATTAAACCATTTAACTATTAACATATAGGAAGTAATAATTTAAAGTAAAATATCTTCAATAACAATGTTCAACTAACAATTTAAGAGTTTTCTTAGGTACGTGCAGGGGTTAAAGTGGGGAAAAATTCCAGAGGGGACTAATGTCTCCATATAGTTTTAAGCGTTCCTATATAATTTTATGTATAATGTCTAATGCAAAAAATCCTAATTTGTTAAAGGGAACGCTTTTTAACCACCGTCAGAGGTAGGGGGACTGAGTCCTCCTGCGACCCCCCACCTTAACCCCTGGGCACGAGGTCTGTTCAAAAAGTACAGACATTTTATTTTTAATAAGTACAAATTTAAGTTACACATTATTTACGTTATCTCCTTCAAAATACTGTCACCGGACGATATGTATAGTGGTCCTGGGAATCTTGTAATTTTTCGAATATCCTTGCAACTGTTTCGAAGTTATGAGTTTTAGTTCTGAAGCTGGGCATCATGGTATTAATTGTTGTTCTATAAGCCCAAATTTTAGTCGTGGGAAAATAAATATAATATATCGTACCGAGTCAGATCATTAGAATAGGAAAGGTGCAGTACCACAAGTATTTTTTTATCAACTAAAAATTCACGAATTGACAGCACTGAATGTGCTGACGCATTGTCTTAGTGAAGAAACCAGGTTCCAGGTTCATTCAATTTTTCTAGGAATTTTTTTCAAATCTTTCCTCGCAAAGTATTAATACGTAGGTACTATAACTAACTTATAGAAAACCTGATTGACTGTTTGTACACGGTGTACAAATTCGTGATGAACAATACCTTCAATTTAAAAAAAAAAGATAAACATTGTCTTTACATTCAATCTTATCTTTTTTTTGGCCGAGGGGAAAATTTTGTTTTTTACTGAGATGATACATATAATATTAGTATAATATTATTTTCAAATTAAAGCTAAAATAAAAGTATTTATTAGAAGGGAACCAAAAGAAGCAGACCTACAATGACATTTTGAATTATGTGTTTTGAAAATGAATTATAATATATTAATATATTTACCTACATCAGCTATACCTAATAATATTAGTATATTGCATTGCCCTTCATTTGTAAATTATATTATAAATTAAAGTAATCTGTTCTATATATTTTTCATTCTTTTCATTATGATTTATGCGAATTTATTTGAAAATGAGAACAATTAAATAAATTTTATTCATTGATAATTATAGTCAGTAATGAAAATTGATATTGAATGCTTAAATTATTTTTGTGTTTAAATAAAAGTGTATAAAATATAAATGAAACTCAGGTAGGTACATACTATTTAATATGTTCAAATGGTTTGATACAAATATTGTAGGTACATACTTCCATTATACATATTATATAGTACATTAGTTGGAAAAGTTTTTACTGCGTAAATAACCAAAACAACTTTTCACACACAACTTCTTCAGTTCTTAAAACCATGTTATAATTTTTTCTTTATATTTTACGAACTACGCAGAATGGGTGAAATGAAAAAGGAACAAACAACTATTGTTAAAGAACATATGGAAAATCTTGTAGGATTTTTCCCACCGACGGCAAGAGATCAATATAATATTAAATAAGAACATCTAATATTTGGTAATATTATAATATATAAATATTATAAATAATATTTAATTACAACGAACTATATACCTACTATAAAAGGATATTATGATACCTATGCATTCAATATAAGATATAATATTATGTAAAATATTATAATATATTATGAAAACAGCATAATTTGTTTTTATTTTTGTTTTTACACGTGTAAACGTTTAAGTACCGGTACAACATTTTAAAGAAATTGTATGTTTTTATTTCTCCTCTAGATCCTTCGGAAGACGTTGAAAACATATCTGTCTGACGGGCGTATAAAACTGTTACATATCAACCTATTTTCAGCCCTATTCTATTTTATGAACAAACTCGTGCCGCTTGAACTAGACGTTTTAGACGGACACGTGACTAGTCGATTTTATTTACGTTTAAAAAATAAATAAGCGTCCTACATAACTTAATAGTATGAGTATTTAATGGTTTTATTTTATATTAATATTTGAACTATATGGTATAATATACGTACATTCGTGTGTGAATAATGTACCTATGCAATATTACAATTTTTTTAATAATCAGTCATCGTTGCTTTCTTGGTAAAATTATATTTTTATCAATTAGAATGTTGATAAGAATATTGAATTCAGCTGTAGTTTGTACACTATAACCTTGAACTGACAAGCAAGTGGCAACAACAGAGTTAAAAATGTGGGGAAAAAATGTCATTAAATAATTTAAACTTTAAGACATCTATGGATGCGTTTTTAGTCTGCAATAAGGAATTATATCCAAACATTAATTTTTTTTTTTATAATATTTTGTACACTTCCTGTATCGACTGCTACTCCGGAACGTTCATTTTCTACTCTAAAACGTATACGAACTTACTTACGTGATAGTATGACAGAAGTATGTACTCTGGTTTTAATTGTTTAATCAATTTTAACTGTCAACCAGTTTACAACAAATTAAAGGTTTTTTTTCAGGCCAGACTAAATGGATTAGCTGCTATGTCCATAAATAGGCACATTAACTTACAGGTTGATGAAATAATTGAAGACTAGCAAAAAAAACCGAGAAAACTTGATATTTTATTATAATCGTTCAATTTGTTTTTTAAACGATGGCAACTTATTCAACTTATTGAATACGTATGTTCTACTTGTTATTAATGATAAATATTAAATACTCATATCACCCCCTAAATTAAGGTCCTAACTCCTAGTTACGCCATTGTTTGGTCACTTCTGGTTTTAACTAGTTAAAACTAGAATATTAACTAAGACCATGATACCGTCAAAACTAGTTTTAACTTATGTTTGTTTAGTTAGAACTAGACACTAGTTGTGTCTAAAATATATAGGTTAAAACTAAAATTATCTAGTTGAAACCAGAAGTGACCAAAGGGATTTGAAGAAACCAGTTTTGACGGATTTCGGGCTTTAACAGTAACATAATATATATTATATTATTCATCCAGGAATTAAAGCTGTTAAATAACAACTAAACAACACACATTTTGTGAAATGTAAACTATATTTTAGCTATTTCTGATAAAACATTGATATGTTGTTGTAGTCAGCTGTGAGTTGTGACCGTGAAATAATTTTATAATATACCTGTTACTTATCTAACGTGTTATAAAATAATTATTATTATTACAATTATTTAATAATATCTATTCTTTTTTTGAGGATAAATGGTAAAAATGATTCAATATATTTTTTGAACAGTCTACTGTTGGTATAATAAGAAAAAATTAATATTTTGTTGTAATATGCTGCTAGTTTGGTAAATAGAACTAATAGGTCAATAATTAGATTGAAAATTCGAACGATAATTCTTTTTTGCTAAATGAACTAAAAAAATAGTCAAAAAAGTGTAAATTAGATCAAGTTCAAAAATAGAATCCTAGGCCACAATAAAATACTATCACTCACTTTATAATTCTCCGCTTTTCCGTTTAAATTGCATGTATTATTATTATTATAGGCGGCTCAATATAGTGGCTATTTTATAAGGGGCAAAATATAGGCAATTTCTAAACTTGTTGTTACTGCCAGTGATCTTTGTCTTAGTCGTAAATTATTATTAGTGTCACACAGTGGCGTATTAAGGGGGGAGGGGAATTTGGATGTCTTAACCCCCCATCACTTTTTTTTTTAATTGAACCATATATATGTATGTACTTATTATTTATTGATACTAATATAGTATATTTTATAGAAGCAACAAATAAAAACCCAAATCCCCTATGGTAGATGTAACTAAGATAATATTAATTCGTAATAAACACTAATCACTGTTGTAAATTTAAAATTGCACAAATATATTAAAATAAAGCAGTTTAGCTCGATTTTTGGGAATTTTTTTCGGAAACCTATAATGCGTATATTTCAACGAGTTAAGCGAGTTACGAGTTGAGTTGTAATGGTACAATCAGAATTTCGTCGTCTCAGAATGAAAAGGTTCTAGCGTAGTTTTTGTAATTGTTCAGGGAAACTTTTTTAAATTAGGCCGTACCTATCATTCACGTATGAATTAGAACTTTTCATTCTCTGTATCTCATTGAATAATCAACGGATCGATACGATTTCAGGATTGAATTATACAACAAAAAGTGTTAAATAATAATATGCAAAAAAAACTATTTTTCAAAATAATTTATTTAGAACCTTTTCATTCTGAGACGACGATTTGTCGGTCGGACTTAGTTCCAACTTCCAAGGTTATAACATTTTGAAGTCCGGGATTTTTCGTATATTACGCATACCCAGATTATTCCAGGAGTCTACCTAGAAATGCAGTTTAGCTCCCAAACAATTTCAATGAATTATGAGTACAATGGTGCAAATCAGAATTTTTTGGTCATACTTAGTTCCAAGGTTATAACTTATAACCTTTTGAAGATTGCAATTTTGAGTAATTTATGTCTACACTCTACACAGATTATAACACAAATCTACTCGAAAAAGTACATTTAAAATTTTATTACATAGTATGTAATTATTTATTTTCATGTATGTTTGCATATGCATTTATACATATATGTGCCCTACCTACATTATAAAAATTACAGATCACAATGGTTGGAATGAGAGGTTTTTATGATATCTATAAACCAATTTTTTTTTTTTTTTTTTTTGATTTAAAGTTTAAACCCAAAAGCCTAAATAGGCATAATATCTAGCGAACCTAAAACAGTAGGTTAAATATAATAATTGTTGGCAAAAAAAATTACATTTTAAAATGTCATTGTATTTATATAATTATTAATGTTATGACAACAAATTTATATTATTATTACATATTTTTGAAAAAATTGAGATTATTATTAAATATTACAACAACAATTGAAATTTATTGGCATTTACACCGATTTGTAATGCTTTTTTTGTCACGCCTGCACCGAAAGTTTGGTTTTCGACCACGGTTGAAGCGTTCGAAAGCGTCCTTTTTCCGTCCAGCGGGCGGTAAAGTGGAAATCCCCAAAGTGCCGGGCGGAAAAGAGGAAATCCCCAAAAGTGCCGGGCGGAAAAGAGGAAATCCCCACTAGTGCCGGGCGGAAAAGAGGAAATCCCCAAAAGTGCCGGGCGGAAAAGAAGAAATCCCCAAAAGTGCCGGCCGTCGAACGCGTATCCCCTGCACAACCAGAAACTAAAATGTAAACCTACCACGGTTCTTACAAAACATAAACTTTTGGTTACATCTTAAATGTATAGTATAACCTCCTTGCATGACGCATAAACATTTAAACATATTTAATTTGCACTGTTCCTAGAAAATTGCGTCGAAAAAAGCGTTAGTAAGTTTATTTCACGCAATTTGTATAATTATGAGCATAAATACGAATGATGACAGTCAACACAGTTGTAGTGAACCATTAACTCCACCACACATGGTTGAAACGGCAAAAGCCGTTTCACTAAATCTATTGCCTGAAAAATCAAAAGAAAGATATATATTGGCTTATGAAAAAATTTTAAAATGGAAAAAAATAAATAAAACCAAATCGTGGTCAGAAAATGTGTTGCTTACATATTTTAGTAATTTATCTAAAGAAATTAAACCGTCAACTCTGTGGTCTGTTTATTCAATGCTTAAAACCACTATAAATATGAAACATAATATTAACATTGGTACTTATCCAAAATTACAAGCATTTTTAAAGAGAAAATCGACTGGATTTAAAAGTAAAAAGTCCAAAGTTTTGACTTCAACCGATATAAAAAAATTCATAGACGAAGCTCCTAATATTCAATACTTAGTAACTAAAGTAAGTGTGATAACATTGTTTAATATAGGTTTTCTATTAATATTCCGTAAATTTCTTATGATAATAGGTAGTATTGATTTTTGGGATAACTGGCGCATGTAGAAGAGAAGAACTTAGCAATATTACTATAAATGATATACAAGATTTTGGCTCAATGTTACATATTAAACTTCCTTACACAAAAACAAATTGTTCGCGGTCTTTTACTATTGAAGGAGAGTTTTATGATATTTTTAAGAAATACATAGATTTAAGACCCGCAAATGTACAGTCAGATAGATTTTTTTTAAATTATAAAAACGGTAAATGCACCAAGCAGGTTATTGGAAAAAACAAAATTGGAAATATGCCCAAAGAAATTGCAAATTATTTAAATTTACCAGATCCCCAAGCTTATACAGGTCATTCTTTCCGCCGAACTTCAGCAACATTACTTGCCGATTCTGGAGGTGATATTACAACGCTCAAACGCCATGGTGGTTGGAAATCCAGTCAAATTGCCGAAGGTTATATAGAAGATTCAATAAACAACAAAAAAAAAATATTTAACCAGATAACTGAGTCTATAACTAATCCATCATCAACACAAACCACAAATGATGTTAACTATGGTGCATCTACTTCAAAAGCCAGTGACGTTGATGAAAAAAAAAAGAAACAAGTGTCAGCGGAAATGTTTTCAATATAAGTAATTGTTCTAGTTGGACATTAAATATAAATTAAAAATAAAATAATATAGTATATTAGTATAATAATCTTATCAGTTACAATAATAAAATATACAAAGTGAAAATTGTAATTTTGAAATAAAATAAAATGTCTTCCATGAAATTGTTTTTGTAGAATAGTCTATAATTTTATTGTTGCATAGATCCCTGCATAACCTTTTCCATGAACGCAGGGGCGTGACAAAAAATAGTATGTGTGGCTCGCGCGGGAAGGCCATTTCAGTCTTGGGCGAAATGCGGCACACGACGCCCGCGACTGAAATGGCTCACTTCCCGCCCTTGCCACACAATATACTTTTTCCTTTCATGCCTTTTGCCGCTTGGACAATATTAATATTACTTTAAAGTTTAAATATAAATCATGACAAAAGAATAGTTGACCTTGACGTGTGTATCTACTCAAACGGTCAATTAGAAAAAAAACAGATTAGGTAATCAATTATATAACCGAAAAGTTCGTAGGTACTTTAAACTGTGTTATACAAACAATTTAATTTATGAAATGAAAAGATCTGATAATAATATACCTATCTAGGTACATATATTGGAAATATTTTTAAGAGCAGTATTCGTTTTACAATATTGTAACGAACAGTATATTGTGTTCAATATAGTTATTAATTTAAATACAGTTTTACTTACCTTTAAATGGTATGCTGTCTAATGGAAATAGTATATTGTGTGGCGAGGGAGGAAATTGCCTCCCCGCACGAGCTACACGTACTATTTTTTGTAGCGCCTCTGCATTCATCGATCGCGGCAAAGGTAATGCCTTTGGGGATCTAAGCAACAACTAGACTTTAATTATACGACAGCAATATTTCATGAAAGAAACGATTTGGTTTTATTTATTTTAATCGTCGCGCATGGAGGTTATTATAACATGATTATAAGATGTAACCAAAAGTTCATGTTTTACAAGGTCCTACGACCGTGGTATAGATTTCAGTGTCCGTTTGTGCAGTGTATACGAACGTGAAATGTGCGCTCAGCACTTTTGGGGATTTCCACTTTACCGCCCGGCACTATCAAACAGAACGCGTTAGAATGCGCTTTAAAGAGGTACCTAAATGGATCGTCTGCGTCGTCTATCGTCCTTTCACGCGCATGTAAATGCAATGCCGCATGTAATGCCGCGCTGTAAATAATCACAAAATCACGCGACTTGAAAATAACGCTTTTTGTTTGACGGAGCCTTTAGGGATTCCCACTTTACCGCCCGAGCTGGACGGAAAAAGGACGCTTTCCAACGCTTCAACCGCTATCGAATACCAAATTTTCGGTGCAGGCTTGACAAAAATGTCAATATACTACAATATAGCCAAGACTGCACGAATAAATAATAATTCACACACGTGTTCCATCCCCCTACAGTTCCACAGGCTAATAACCTCAGTACTTGAAGTCTCAACCCCCCCCCCCCAAAAAAAAAAATATTCTTTAATTCTTTAAGTTAACGTAGTAATATTATATAACAATATAATGCAAGGTGGGATATATCACACAATATTAGTAAAAAATATCAGACATTTATCAACACTGCGGATTTTTTATCCAAAGATTTACCAAATCTCGTTTGTAAAAGTCCAAAACTACAAAAATCAATAATGGTTTGACCAAATTATTTTGTGTATCCCTGCAGTTTTTACAGAAATCAATCGGTAAATGTCCAAAATTCATAAGCATTTACCGACAACAGTCGGTGATACCTGCAGGTACGATTTACCAGTAATTAGTAAATCCTTGGTTTCACAGGTATTATTTGTATACTTTTGTTATTTCTTTGTTGAAATTTAAAATTTTACCATTTATAGACTGCAAGCTCGGATGCACATAGGCGTGAGCAGACTTTTGGTTCTGGGGGTGCACACTAAAAATTAGGGCCCACAATAATTTTGAAGACAATATTATAGATACAGACAATTTTTTTAAAGATATAAAATACACTAAAAATATTTATTTTATTTTATTATTCATTCTAATAAATATTACATAACAATATTTAGATATACAATATTATAATGATAATCGACGTATAAAAGGAACAACATTTTTGAATTCGTTAATAATTTCATTAAAATCTAATTTACATGCTAGTTCTTGTTCTATAAATATTAGCAGTAATGATTCTAGTCTTGTTACTTCAACTTGTTACTACATTTTTAATACTAAATACATATTATTAAAAATGTCTAACCGTCCACTCTTTTTTAACCAGTAGACCAGTGTTAGACGTCTAACTACACATAAACAGATTCACTGGATGTACCACTTGGTACATCAGCAGTGGCACAACCAGGTTTTATTCAAGGGGGAGGGGGTCTAAAAAAATGTATTTAACTACTCTTTGTCTGCTCTTTTGCTGAGTATATACATACATTTTATTTCTTAATAAACACAATTTTCCTGGTTTAAGGCCAATAAAAAAAATTGTTTTTCTTTATTTTTGTGTCTGTCATCATGGTTTGGGGCAGTAAGACTGCTTCGATTTTCTTCAAGAGTATCTATTGTTCCTATGGGAAAGTGAATCTAGTTGGTGCATTCGGGAGGAAAATTTAAAATTCTCAATAGTTTTCAAAAGCGCTGGGAAAAACAACATAAAAATTAAGGAAAAACGGGAATTTTTAAGCAATATCGGTTTTCTACAAAATCGATTTTGGTTTTTGGTGTAACTCTAAAACAAATTAAATACATGACTGGTTGTTTGTATTCGCATATTCTACACACGATAAAATTTTCGAAATATTTTGATTTGTTTTCAACTGTTTAGGAACATTTTCAGTTTCCAATTTTATTAGTTTTTTTTTATACGAATGTCAATAAAACTTTATTTGTTGTTTAAAAAAGCTTGACAATTTATTACGAGGCTCCTACTATATTGTATACTATACTATATATAATTTACCACCATCCATTACAGTGACCCAATGGTAACCTATACTGTACAGCAGAGTGACACACACTTGCCCACCTTTTTAAATTTATATTTACTATTGTACTATTTGTAATTTATATGTACTTATTGTGCCTCATAGGTATAGATTGTATATATGGTATATGTATATCAAATAAAGGAAAAAAAATAAAAAAATATTTACAATATATTATGTCAATCAATTATTATTATTATGCCAATTAAATTATGGTATAGTCATATTGTCTCATATTAATCTCGAAAGTAATAATCAATCTAATTAATAAGTTTCGATGAACATTTCAGAGAAAGTTTTAAAATAATAATGAAATTATGACATAAGCCATGGGGAGGGGGTGGGTGGTCCACCCCCTGGGTTCGTCACTGTACCTGATGTAAACACATATACTAAATAATGTATTTAGTATACACACTAAGACTAAGCCGATCATTCTCTGCAGTTACCATTTACGTAAAAGCGTAATTATTTATATTATATAACAGTGTTTATAATAATTACTAATATAAATTATTGTGCCTCATAAGTTAATGAAGTTCGTCACACGCCCTCGCCACTGGACCGTCGTATAACTTGCAGTTACTTGACTGAAGTTGGAGATGGTCGATGAGGTGATAAACGAAACTCGTAGTTCAAAGGTGTAACAACGAATTCTGCACTACAGTTTCGTCGATATAATCTAATACTATAAATTATTATTAGGTATATTATTCAGACATTAACAGTGTATTGCACTCATATCTATCATTAATCTAGTATTTATGTGTGTGTGTGTGTGTGTGTGTGTGTGTGTGTGTGTGTGTGTGTGGTGCACTTTGAGTGGAGGGACTAGGTGGGATGGGTGGTAACTGGTAATAATCGAGTCTAACGATGTAGAAAAGTGAGATTCTGCAGATCAATGACGTAGGTTCTGACGTAACGTATTCACATTAAATTCTTAAGCTGACGGTGTAATCTATAACTGGTATCTTCTAAATGTAATATTATAAGTACCATGTTAAATGTTCATCTATTGTGTCAATATAAAAGCTCAGAGACTTGGGCTTTGACGATGAAAGCTGGAATTGTGACATTTGTTTTTTATAAAATTCATAAAAAAGGTTAGGTACAAGGTACCTCCAGGAAAAAAATGTATTTAAAGCAGATGAATACTTCACTGACTAGTGACCCGAATCTTTTACCATAGTTGAAATGATTAATCTCTCTTTTTTTAGCACAAACATAGCTTTTAAAGAATGAATTAAAATATAATAATATTTATACACAAATATTTATTTTGTATTCATAATTGAGGCGCTGAGCGCAAAAGGTAAGCCTCCCAAAAAGATCGAAAGCTCCGACCCCAAAATTATTAAGCATTTTTCATACTATAAAATATTAAAATAGGTACTTATTTTACAACGATTGACAAAATCTTGGAACTTTACAAAATATTTTTTTTCGCCGAAATGTTGTCAAGATAAATGTCAATATAATAATAATTATTAAGTAGGTATACCATAACCATATCATTGATTAAATAATTTAAATAATTTAATCAATGACATGGTTATGGTATACCTACTTTAAAATTGAAAGATTGTATTTTTTATAACCCAATTAGGTACCTACTAGCCCCGTTAGGCTCTTACCCCACCTGGCCTTAATTTACTCGGAATGATGGTTGAGTCAAATAGGCCACTTTTGTGTTCAGCGCCTCAATTATGAGAATTATTATTATTTATTATTACCTATAGATTTTATACTGATAAACTATTATTTTTACTAAATTACCATCCATCAAACTTATAAATACTTAATGATATAATATATTCTATTATTCTGTATAACTGCATGCTTACATAACGCTGGTAGGTGGTATTTAGTATAATTGATACATGCATATAATTACCTTCTAGTAGGTACTTATAAGATATACCAATTACCTACTATATATTCCATTATGCATGAAACAAGAAAAATTTTTTAATATAGAGAACTGACCTTTAGCTTTGTTCAATAATAATATATTTTGTGCAACATTTCAA